CTGGCAATCTTGTTTTTGATTGTCATGACTTGGGGGAGGAGAGGGGAGGTGCTCCTGGCTGTGGTGGGAGAGGCCAGGATGCTGCTAAATGTCCCGCAGCACATGGGACAGCCTGCAGAACAAAGATCCCCCTTCAAATGTCCAGCTTCAAGCTCAGAGCCCTGGATAACCTCCAGGGTTAATCCGACCCCACATTACAGGAAGCCCTAGGGTAGGCAGCCCAGTGCTGGGGCAGTGGCTCAGGGAAGCCACCCAGAAACCAGGCTTCTCTCTTCCGGCTCTGCCAGTCTTGGCAGTGGCTGTTGTACCTCGCCAAGAAGTGGGCAGGAAGAATGTGGAGGGTGAAGAGACAGAGGGAAGGCCTCCCAGGATGCTCTATGGACATCTCATTGGCCACACCTGACATATGACTAACCATAGCTGCAAGGGAAGCTGGGTATCAGGTACTTGAGTTCTTCAGCCTCTCTAGTATTGCAGAAAAGGGGCTTGGGGTGGTGCTGTGTAGACTTAAGAGACATGCATCCACCCTCCCCTGATACGGCTTCCAGTCTAGCAGGTTGAGTGATAGGTGACAAGTCAGGTGTCTTCAGACCTGTGCTATTGAGGGAATATACGTGGGTCCAGGGAGAGTCCTATTAGGTGCAGGACATTTAGAATCGTGGTGCAGGGCTTCCCTGAGGAGCTGTCAATCACACTGAGCCCTGGATGATGAGAAGGAGCCAGAGAAGCTGGAGGCTGGGGGTGGAGGCAGGTGAGCATTCACAGCAGAGGGAAGATCATGTGCAATGTCTGCAGGGGAGAGTGGTGTGAGGAGCGGCCATAGGGGTGGGCGGTCAGCTCTCGGGCCACTGTGGACCAGGGTAAAAAGCACCAAGGAAATCACTTTCATTGTTTTAAGAGAAGATGCGGTTTCTGTTTCTAAGTCATCTGGCTTCTGTGAAAGTGTTTAGACTTGAACTGTCTGGGTGGGGATCTCTGTGCCCTTCACCTTGTGTCCATATCAGGCCTTTGGGAAACGTTAGAACGTCCTTTGGGTCCATGATGAGATGGTTGTTCCAAACCTACACTTTAGGTTCCCAGGTTGGACCGAAATCACGCCTGTGTCCTTTCCATTGTGTTTTCCTGCAGATCAAGGATCTTGAACAAGTGGTGCTTTCGCTGCGGGAGAGTTCACAGGCCAGCAGTGAGGCCTGCTTTCAGGACATCGAGAATGAGAACAAAGTCCTCCACCAGACAGTGATGGAGACCAGCAGCAGAGTCAGCAAGCTGGAGTGGGAGCGGCAGCAGCTGCACCAGGATCTGGAGCAGGTGAAGGAGCAGGCGGCGCGGGCGCAGGAGCTGGAGCAGGAGCTGCATCGGCTGCAGGAGGAGAACGAGAAGCTGGCCATGGAGGTCAGCGCCCTGACGACGGCCCCCGAAAGGGTCCACGCCCTGGAGCAGGAAAGCCAGGACCTGTTGCTGGAGAACCAGAGGCTGCAGACATCTCTGGACACCCTGCAGCCTGAGGGTCTGGAGCGGGACGAGCAGCTGGACACCAGGGTAATTCTGGCCTCAGAATGAGTTAGGACGGATTCCTCCCTGGTCAACTCTCTGGTGGTGGTTTGAATGCGGTTGGATGGGTGTTGTGTAAATATCAGTTAAATGGGTTGGTAGTGCTGTTCAGGTTCTCTATGTTCTTACTGATTTTCCATGCACTTTTCAAAGTAGTCAGAGAGGGTACCCAAGGAGCTTATCCAGAGAAAGGGCATAAATTGCTCAAGAAAAGTCACATGTGTAGACAGGGGCCCAGGACTAAGCTTAGGCCCATGGGACAGTCTATTTCTGCCCTGGGCCTTCCCAGAGCAGTTCCTCACGTGCAGGTAGAACTGTCCTCAGCACGGCTGGGTTTTGCCAGTACTGAGGGTCCTGCTATTTTTGTGTCAAAACTTGACCTTCTCTTGGCCCCTCCCTGTGTGGGAGGATGTGGGGTTCTGGGGATCCGGAGTTTGTGGTCCCCCTGGGCCTGAACCTGGTGAGGCATCATCCCCTTCTCCCTCCTGGAAGGTGGAAAATTCCACTCTGAGCCCCCAGAGTGCATCGCTCACTGCGCTCATAGAGAAGAACATGCAGCTTCAGCACCAGCAGCTGGCGGCAGCCCACGAGGCCCTGCAGCGGGAACACGCGTGCCTGGGCGCGCTCCATGAGCACCTGTCTGGGGAACATGAGGCCCTCATGGATGAGTACAGCCGCCAGAAGACACTGCTGCGACGGACCCTGGAGCTGGAGAGCAAGGCGCTCAGTGACAGGTGGGTGCCTGCGGCTGGGGGTGACAGGTGGGCTCCCCGGGCTCCTGTCCCCCCTTCACTCTGGCTCCTCACGTTTCCTCTGGTCCCGCTGCTTCACAGTGAAGAGAAGTAAATCCACCATCACCCTCAGCGATGTGGAGTTGGTGCGGCTGGAGACTGAGCGGCAGGAGGGTACCCGGGGGAGAAGGGTGTGTCCAGCCAATCAAGGCTCAGGGAAACCCGGTGTCAGCATTGGGGTCCCAGCTCCCCTCCTGGGCATTACCCCCTCTTCCTTTTCTCTCCAAACCAAGGACAAGGAGGGGAAGTCACCACAGCTGCCGATTTTCAGGGGCGTGCCTCATCTAGCTCCCCAGGCCTTTTCCCTGTCCAAGTCTCCAAGTCTGGGCTTCTGATCTTCTTTTTTTACTTTTAATTTTGGAAACTTTGAATATATGGACGCGTACGGAATAGTATAGCGAAAACCCCGTGTTCCCCTCACCTGCAGCAGCATTACCAATACTCGGCCATTCTCATGTCACCTTTACCTCTGACTCTTCATACACCTTTTATTTTTTAAAGTAAAATTGATGTACCTTAAATGCATAAATCTTAACTTTGGGCTTTTGCCAAATCAGGGCTTTGTGTGCATGTAGTCAGCTAACTTCAGCCAAACTCCTGCCCGGCAGATCCCTGATTGCAATGGCCCCGGCAGGTGCAGTGGGACCCAGAGCCTGGGGGAAGTGAGATGTACAGAGGACTCCAAGGTTGGGGGCGGTCGGGGAGAGATGCGCTAAAGAGAGGCTCTCCCACACTTGGAGCAGC